TGAGTTTCCTGTGCGCCAGCACCACCAGCAGCAGCAACACGTTCGTTCTTAACAACTTCAATGCCACGAGCAGCAAGTAGTTCAGTTGCCTTAGCAGCCTTACCAGCAGGAGCAGCGAATGTTACGGAGTCTTCACCCATAGTGATAGCTTCGTCACCGATACCAGCTTTCTTAATCATTGCAACTACGAGCTTAGGATTAATACCGTCAACGAGTGTTGCAGTATAAGTGTCAGCTGCACGACGTGCGCGAGCGCCAAGTTCTAGTGCACCAAGCTTTTCACGAGCAGAGTCAATACGAGCGATAACGGATTCTGCACCATCCATTGCTGCAATTTCATCAAGAGCGGCAAGTGCACGCTGCTTAGCTTCTTCAGATGCAAAACCAGAACGGATACGGTTAAGGATAACAGTAAGTGCACGCTTTACGTCACCATTTGCAATAGCTGTAGCATAGTTACCACCGTCACCAGCGCCATTACCCTTGTCAGCTTTCTTAACGAGTGTTGCATCATTTTCTTCACATGCAGCAAGATAACCATCATTCTTGAAGTTATTAAGAGTTTCAAGACCGAAAGCATCCAATTCATCTGCTACATCATTCAATAGCTCAAAGTTTGACAAATATTCACCAGCATTTGCCATCTGGGAAGTCTTTGCTTTACCAGTTTCAAAATTGGACTTCTTAGAGTCGATAGATGCCATGTCCTGCTCAACACGTGCAACGAGGTCAGCATGAGCAACCTTCATACTCTTTGCCTTATCAGCACGAGCCTTAGACATTTCGGAAATCATCTTACCCGGAAGACGACGGATTGCGGATTCCAAGAGAGCACATGCTTCACCAACATAGTCCTTGTTAACAGAGTATCCTACAGACTGTAGAATATGTTTTGCTTCAAATAGATTCATTTTAGTTTTCTCCTATAATAATTATTATATAAATGGTTCTATATTTTTATTTATAAAAATATTTTTAAAATATTCTGTAATATTTATAAATAACATAAAGCCTAGGAGATTTACTATGATTTTATTTGAAAAAACAATTGCAAAGTCTCAGCTAGACGATATTGCCGTCGACTATGAAATGTTAGAAATGGAAGGTTTACCAGTAGAAAAACCAGAAGTTGTGCTTTATTTTAATAGCGATAGAGTATTGGATAGTGTTGATGACGTCATTATGCCTATCCAATTTAAGCTTGAAGGTCTTGAAAAGAAGGCATGCATTACTATTGCATATACCTGTGATTCATTTGATGATACTTTTGATATTAGTAAATTAGATGATGATGCATATGAAGTTGAAGAACTTCCGGATGGTTATATGGTTACTGTTGATGACCCAGATAAGCTTTCTAAGGTATTGAATGCTACATTTACTCAGAGTGTTGTCTATCCTTTTGATAATACTTCTAAGAATGATGCTGTTAATAAGTATCTTGAAAAGGACAATATTGACCTTTCTACTAAGATTGCAAAGTATATTACTGACTTAGTTTATAAAGTTGACGAATATAAGTCTATCCACAGTAGTTGGTCTAACCAACAGACCCGTGCTACAAAGAAGGCTGTTGCAGCTAATGCCATCCGTGCAGGTCGTACAGATTTACAGATGTTGCTTGACACACTCAAAACTCTTAAGGGTGTTAAAAGAATCCAGGAAAGTACACTAGCAACTGGTTCAAGATTCAAACATCGTTACCGTGTATTTGCGACAGTTACAAAGATGGTCAAGTATAAGCCAGTACAGAGTGATGCAGTATTTGAAGTTCTTAGCGACAATTCTGGTAAGCATTTCGTATGTAAGCTTTTGAATGATGCATTCAATGGTGCTGAACTTTACAGTCCAGAAAGTGTAATTCGTTGGTTTAAGAATCGTCTCGGTATTAAGCAAGCTGATATTAAGTCTGACGCAGTATCTGATGACGATACAGGTTGGGGAGCAATTAGAAACACTGCTGATTCATTTACTCGCCAAAACTAGTAATTAAATTAATTAATAACAAAAAGTCTCAGATATTTCTATCTGAGTCTTTTAATTTAATGGGAGTAAATGATAAATTACATCATCGGCATTCCGCCCATAGTCGGAGCTGCGCACTGGCATTCATGTTCTTCCTTCTTTTCACAGATTACACATTCTGTGGTAAGAATCATAGAAGCAACAGATGCCGCATTCTTCAATGCAGTCATAGTTACAACTGCTGGATCAATAACACCTACCTTAATAAGGTCTTCATAAGTATCAGTCTTAGCGTTATAACCATAACCGCCATTACCTTCCTTAACCTTATTAACAACTACAGAACCTTCACCACCTGCATTGGCAACAATTTGACGAAGCGGTTCTTCAATTGCACGCTTAATAATTGCAGCACCAGTAGCCTGGTCATCATTAGACAATGTAATTGAATCAACTGCAGATGCTGCACGAATAAGAGCAACACCACCACCAGGGACAATACCACCAAGAGCTGCTGCCTTAGTTGCATGAAGCGCATCATCAACACGGTCTTTCTTTTCCTTCATTTCAACTTCAGTTGCTGCACCAACCTTAATTACTGCTACACCACCAGAAAGCTTAGCAATTCGTTCTTGAAGCTTAGACACTTCATAGTCAGATTCAGTGTTCTGTACTTGAGACTTAAGCTGTTCAATATGGGTTGCAATTGCGTCAGCTTCACCAAGTCCCTCTACGATAGTTGTAGAATCCTTAGTAATCTTTACTGACTTAGCTGAACCAAGAATTTCAGCGGGAATTGCTTCATCAAGCTTAATACCAAGTTCGTCGGAAATGAACATACCACCAGTAAGAACTGCAATATCCTTAAGGTTATTAATTCGAGAATCGCCATAACCAGGTGCCTTAACTGCTGCAACCTTCAATGCACCACGCATCTTATTGACAACGAGTGCTGCGAGTGCTTCACCATCAACATCTTCTGCAATAATTAGAAGCGGACGAGACTGCTGAGCACTAAATTCCAAATGCGGCAAAATATCCTTCATTGTAGAAATCTTATGACCATACATAAGAACATACGGGTTTTCAAGTACACAACTCATGTTTTCTTCGGTTGCAAAGTATGGTGAAAGATAACCGTTATTAAACTGCATACCTTCAACAACATCAAGAACAGTGTCTGCGGTACGAGATTCTTCAATAGTAATTACACCATCAGTGCCAACCTTTTCCATTGCATTAGCAAGAAGATTACCAATTTCTTCATCACCATTTGCAGAGATTGTACCAACCTGTGCAATTGCAGTCTTATCAGTTACCTTAACTGCATTCTTATCAATTTCAGTAATAATTGCATTTACTGCTGCATCAATACCCTTCTTAAGTTCGATGGGATTTGCACCAGCGGCAACATTCTTCAAACCTTCACGTGCAATTGCCTGGGCAAGAATAGAAGACGTAGTAGTACCATCACCGGCGATTTCATTAGTCTTAGATGCAACATCCTTAACAAGCTGTGCACCCTGGTTTTCAAATGCATCTTCCAAATCAATAGCACGGGAAGCAGTGGTATCAACGCAGAGTACTAGTGGAGAACCATGACCTGCAATCATAACATTGCGACCTGCTGGACCAAGAGTTACCTTAACTGCGTTAGCCAGCTTATTAACGCCATTCAAAATCTTTTCACGTGCTTCCACGTCAAACTTCATTTCTTTACTCATATATTTTTACTCCTAAATTAAACTTCTTCCTCGAGCGTAGTATCGAAGAGAACGAGCTGCTTCTTACCAGATTCGGGGTCGACTGCCTTGTACTTGAGCATTGAACTCAGGTTAGTATCAAGGTCATTTTCAAGTTCCTTAACAAATGTTAAAGTATATTCAGTCTTCCAAGTACCGTCGGAATTTTCCTTACGAACAGCATCAATCTGTTCAAGCTTACCCTTGAAAGTCTTATCACCAAAAGTAATATTGTAATTCATACGGTAGTCACTTACAGGAATATTCATCTTTGACCAAACATCCTGTGTTGCATTTGTACTAAAAACGGACATCAAGTCAATTTGACCACGGAATTGCTGTGGAAATGTACGAATAGAAGTTTCTTCTACTACCTTAAATTGAAAACAGACAATTACATTTTCTTTCTTAATAATTGGCTGAAACTTTGTCATAGTTGAACTAAATTTTACAGTTGTCATTTTCTTTAACTCCTTATTTATTAATTTTCATTTGGTACAATATATTCACCACTATCAAGGTCATAACTTGTCATTTCAGCAAGTTCTTCACCTTTGATTACACCAACTTCTACCATCTTGCGAAGCGCCTTAAGATAAGCAATCTTTCTACCTACACTCTTCTTGAAGACATCACGATAAGAACAGTGTGCAATACCAATAAACTTTACCATTGCATCCGGCTGACTGTTTTCCCATTCAGAAACAAATACTAAAGTATCACGTTCATTCCAGCTTCTATATACTTCGCGACCATATTCATCACGTGTAAATGTAGATTTTGGATGGTTTTTATAAGTTACTTTAACTAGAAATCTTCTTCCGTTAGTTAATTCAATCTGCATATTACTTTTCCTTTCTATTGTCTTGAGTCCATGTATTAAGTTTAAAGTGGTCGAGCTCTACGCTTTCTTCAGAATTAATTACGCCCTGCTTAAGCATTTCACTAATTGCGTTATAATACGCCAACTCTCGACCTGTCTTCTTACTATACCTGTCCTTATATGAACAATAAGAAAAGCCTTTAAAAATTGTATTAGAATAAGGTTTATCCTTTACTTCTTCAACAGTTACTGTTGTATTATGTTCATACCAATAGGTTTCTACCAGTCGGCCATATTTATCCTTCTGAACAGATTCCTTTGGAATTTCATCGTACTTTACCTTAATTGTAAATGCACGTCCATTTGATAGTGTTAGTCTCATAATTTACCTTCTTTTGTTTTTAGTGAAATAAAATATAGCTAATATCCGAAGACATTAGCTATTAAAAAATATGTTTTATCTGAACTTTTTAAATAATTTTACGAGGTTTAGAATCAAACATATCGAGCATTTCATTGATGTGACCTTCTGATTCCAGCCAGCAATTTCCAGTATTAATGAAGTCATACTGCCAATTCATTACTTCGTTATATTTGTCTTTTTTAGTTAATGCCCAGAATATTTTATCAATTTCTTCAGCTGTTGATTTGTCGGTAAACTTTGCATCATTATGAATTTCACGATATGGACTGTCATCATTATTTGCAAAGATATTACCCATAAAGACACATCCGCATGCACAAGCTTCAGTAAAACGTAATGAGGATTTGCACTTATTGAAAGAATTATCTACAACAGTTGCAATACTAAAGTCTGCATGCACTTCCATGAACTTACGAGGGAAGGTATGAGAATCTGCCCATGGAATATATTGGATTTTGTCTCTAATTTCATCAAAGAAGAATGGTACTGAACCCATTACGACAAAATCTATTTTATCTTCTTTTACATTTTTAATAACCCAATCACATAACCCCGTTTTCCAGTCACCTCTATCTCCTGGCTGACCAGGATGTCCATTAGGAAAATTTGGATGCTGTCCAGGTTTTAGTGTTGGAATAGGTGTTTTAAAATGTGTAGGGCTTCCAGAATAAATTACCTTTGGTTTTTTAATATCTTCAGTAATTTTCTTCTTTCGTTCAAAGTTCCACAAATAACGTGGTACAACATTTTTAATTACTTTAACATTAGGATGATGGAAAATTTTTTCAATCACACGTTTTAAAAATGGTGTTGATGCAATAACCATGTCACACATATCAATATTTGTCTGTAAATTTTTAGTTGACTTGTCAATATGTTTAACAATCGTATCATGACCTGGGTTATATGAAGGAACACCATCATCTTTGCCTTCACCGGTCATGAACACTAAGTCATCAAACTCAGCAACTAGCTTATACCCAAATTTTGGTTGAAGTTCTTTGTAACGTGTAAGAATCTGAACATCAGAATCCGTAATTGGTCTTTGGAAAATAATAGACTTTGCACGAGACAAATAAACTGGGTCAAAAGTTGGATATGGCATGAGAGTTGGAATTACTCCCATGGTATATCCATTAATATATTCTGCATTGTAACGTAGGCGTACGTGTGAACAACCACTGGTATCCTTGCAATAAATTATAGCAATATTTTTTCCATCTTGGTCTTCTGTATGTGCGTTTAACATTAATTCACCTCAAATATCAATTTTATGATATTTATATTAGTCTTCAGACTCACCTTTAAAGTCATCAATAGTATTAAGATTTTCATAGAAATCCAAACCTGTAACTTCTTTTTCTTGGCGTTCTTTTAATTGGTTTAGATATAGGAGAATTGCGTTTGTGATCAACTGTGTAACAAATGCGAATGCACTACTGTTACGTTCTTCATCATATCGGTTAATGTATGTGAACAATGTCATCAAACATTCCTGACGAATATCTTCAATATCTTCGTAAGCCTTTGTAGTAACTAACTTGAAAGATATGATTCGACCATTAATAACTTTCATAAACGCATCGCAAATTTCAGCTTTTAATTTATCAAATTCATAGTTATAATGTCTACGTTCAGCATCAGTAAATTCTGCATACTTCTTATGAAGCGCAGCAATCTGCTGTTGCTTACGAGTGATAAAGTCTAAACTCTGCTGATACTTTTCTTCTTCAATTTTCTTATTCTTATACTTATTTTCTAACTTGCTGAGATATGGCTGACACCATGCACCGGTATCATCGATGTTCATACGATTAAAATCGACAATTAGTTTTCTTAAGTACTCATTTGATATGTAACCTTCCTTTTCTTTCATTGTTTCCTCATTTTATTTTAATAATTAAAATATAGTAATTATTATGTAAATAAAAATTTACATAATAATTAAAATCTGTATTTTTTAAATTATATGTGATGTGGAATAGAACCAACGCCAGGAACATGCGCTTGTTGCTTCGCTTTAGCAAGTTCTTTGCGGGAAAGTTCTTCTTCTTCCTTAATCAACTTATTAATTACTTGTTGTTCTATCTCAACTTCAACCCAAGACCAATCATTTGTAATCTGAATATTTGAATATTTACTAATTCTAGTTATAGTTTCAAGAATTTCAAATAATTTTACCGAGCTAAATAGATGTTCATCATTAATCTTTAGGTTAATGTGACTAATACCGTTACAATGTGGACATACTATTTCAAACATCTCTTGAAAACCGCAGGAGTTCAATGCTAGATGATTATATAAAACTGAGTAATCTAATGCACTCAAATTTTCTACAAATAATTTTTTATCAGCAAATGTATTCGTTGAATTTATATACATTGCGACAGTATCAATTTCATCTTGGGGCTTATTCAATGATTCATAAAATTTTGGAATAGCAATTGGAAGTTGGATATTTGTGTCTGGTAAATATATTGTATCTACAAAATTGTTATCCAAATATTTTATATTAAACTGCTCTAGCGTAATTGTTGCATCATATTCTTGCTTGCAATGTTCACATTGTTTAATTTTTAATTTGTATCCATTACGACTTGTAAAACTATTGTTTCGAATCCAAAATACTAGATACATTCTATCAGGCAAATAAATATCTTCAAGTTTAATATTTTCAAGAATCAAACATTTTGATAATATTTCATTACATATTTCTGTGGCAAGCGCTGGCTGATATGTAGCCAAGAACTTTACTTCCATTACAGAAAGGTTACGCAATTTTATTATTGCGTTAGGATTATAAAATTGTCCTCGTGTTGGCAATTCATACAATGGAATATTCCAATAGTTATATTGGTTATATGCAAAATGTAAATCACTCATTATTTGAAATCACTCCAGAATTCTTCACTATCATAATTCTCATCAGCCATCATATCAATGGTCTTATTTTCTGCTAAGTCTTCCCTAATGATTACCTTACAAGAATCAAGGTCAATTTCAGGTTGTAAAGTTGCATAAACTGCCCAGTATAATGATGATACAGCGTCATCATGTGTTCCTTTAGCACCTTTAAATACATTTGGAGAAACTTCTTCGAATCGAGATAACTGAGAAATTGTATTTGCATCTACAATAGCAAGCGCATGAGAATCAACAAGGCGTTTCAATTCCATACATGCATCAAGCTTAGACTTTTTATCTGCGCGAGTACCAAGTCCGTGTTTATCTGTATTAATTAAGTTTGTATTTTCTAATGTATACCAAAGCTCTTCTGATACTTGACGACCAACATCATTATTTTCTAATATATAGAAACAGTTATTATACATAGTAGACGTTGCATCAATAATTCTTGCAAACTGACCTGGATTTACAGTGTTTGACTGGTAGGTACATACCTGTTCCATTGATGTTCTCGAATTAATTTTTAAAACTTGCAGTGCTGCATAGTCTCCGCCTACACCTGTTGCACAGTCAACACCCATTACATACAATGCACCTGGTATTGGTTTTTCATAAATTAACATATCTAAATCATACATATATTCTAATGGTTCTTTTTGAACCAATTCACCAAGTACATTTGGGTCTACTAGTGTCTGAGAAGAACCGATAAAACTACAGTTATGATTAATTAGACCATTAGGCGTTTCGTATATTTCACCATCAACACTGACAGGTGTGATAACAGTTTGACGACCTAGGTCCTCGATCCACATTACAATGCTTTTGCCAAACTGAGTATTGTCTACAGTATCACCTAATAAAAGTGTATCTGCTGTTTTAAAATCATTGCCGGATTTAAATTTATGGTCTGCTGAACATTTTATAATACAATTATCAAATCGTATCTCAAATACTCTTGCTACTTTCTTTTGAAAACCTTCAAAAGATTTAAACTCATTATCACATTTAATTTTCATGATTCACCTTTTTGTAAGAATTTTTTTACATATTTTTTATTATTTACTATTTACAGTAAACTAATCACTAACTATATTTATAACATTCAAAAATAAAATAGGAGAATAACTTATGATGCTATATAATGAATTTGAACGAGAAGTAGATCGGCTTCAATCAGAAATCCGAGCTCTTAAGAGTGAAGGAAAATATAAAGAAGCTGAAATTAAAGGTCTTGACCTTGTTTATTTGAAAGTTAATTATTATGAAAATTGTATGACATCAAGCAGTGGTATCAACGCAGAGTACTGTTCATTTAAGAGCCAATATCAAACAGCACTTTATGAACTAGCAAATAAGCGTGATGCTTTGTTTGATAAGTTTGGTTACGAAGAAGTATAAAATAAACCCTAGGTTTTAGCCTAGGGTTTTTATTACTGAAACTCATTTGTTAAATTGTTTATATTAAACTTTTTAACTTTTTGGTAATCTTTAGCTTCATCATGTTTAACAATATCTATTCTTGTTGTATGTGGTTCAATTTCCTGTGCATTTTGAACAGAAATCATATTCCACTTCATTAACAAGAATGCAATACTATTTCTACGCTCAATATCTTCTAAAGAAACATTACCAAATCCATGATAACCAGTTTTGCTAGTCTCAAGAGTAAACAACTGTTTAAAATGTGCTAAATAAAAAGTCCCAAATTGCTCTAGTAGATGACAAGACTGATAAATAATCTTTGCTTTTTTATCCACAATACCTATACGAGTCAAAGTTTCTTCAATAATCTTTCGGTCAACTAGAAGCTTAATTTCTAACAATTTGTTTGTATCAAACATATTAATAAACCTCCGGTTTCCAATCTAAATTTTTTAATTCTTTAGCAAAAAATTTATTAGCTAAATATTCGACATCTAATTCATCTGATGTTTCATTCATGAAAGAATCCATGAGAATATTCTTTACTTTGGTGTATCTTACTAAGTCATGTTCATCGAGTTTAGCAAAACCATAGTCTGCGTATCCATTAGCAAAATATACATCCTTAATTTTTTGCCTTAACTCGGTGATATTTAAAAATTTTTTGTTATAAATTAAGTATTTTACTTTATTAATTTCACGTGCTGTCCAGGTGTTGGGATTACATTTTGGTACAGTGTCCTCAATAGTATCTTCTGCCTTAACAGGTTTAATAACAGTATCGACAACTTTGTTGTCGGTACTTTTATTCATTTCCTGTTTTACATAGTCGTGAAAGCTAATCATATATTATTTATAGCTTAAACTTTTGGTAAGAAGAACTGTGGAATGAAAGAAATCGGAAGATTGATGTCTTCACCACAAACTGGACACTTAAACTTTGCATATGGCTTAGCAGTAAAGATATAATCAGTCAAAATATTTGTAAGCTTACTAAAGGAGAATGCATCCATATTACATATGTACTTATAAGCCTGCATTAAAGACAATTCTTTACCATTTACCTTATAAACATATGTACTAAGATCTAAAAGATCGGATGCAATTTCTTCAACAATCTGATCATTAGTTTTTAACTTAACTGTATCAGCTTCTGTCTGAATAGTGGGGAACTTAATAGAAATCTTATCTTCGCCTATTTCAAATTCATCAGGTAAGTCTTTATCAAGATAAGATACTTCTAGGTTACTCAAACAGTATTCATAGTTTGCGATAGTATTACATTTTGTACATTCACCGCGTAGCTTAAACGGAATATCATTATATGTGAATGAACGTAGATAGAAGATTAACCAAATCTTATCACCTACTAATACCTTATTAACATCAACACCAAAAAGACAAGACTGGATAACACCATTAATAATACCCTGAATATTCTTTTCGTCGATTGTTGCTAAGTTTTTAATATTCATTGTAGTCAACTTTTTGACATATAAATCACCGGGATAAAACTTACCTCGAGACGGAAGCAAAGTCTTATCCAATAATACTGCTCCAGCTGGAATCTGATTTTTCATTTGTGCAAGCGCAGATGCTAAATTGCCACTATTAACATTATTTAAATCAATTGGTTCTGATCTCATAATTTTCACCTCACTTAAAAATTTATATATTTATATTTATTATGTTGATTTTAATGTATTATCTACGTGTAATTAATCCATATTGGTCCATAGTTCTATATGCACTACCATATTTTTTCATCCATACATCTTTTTTAGTTCTTCTAACACCATTATTCTTAACAGTGCCAGCACTTTCAACAATATAACGTTCACCGTCAATTTCAACTTCTGCTACAATATGACCTGGGCCGCCATTTGAACCTCCTTTAATTAATACGTCTTTAATTATTGAATTTTCAGATAGTATAAGTGTTGGTTGTTTACCTGGTGTTGCCATGTCCTTATACATTTGATCTGTGCTTGCATATGTGTTAAAACCCACTACACCACCTTGAACTGGACCATCATGTTCAATAACTTGACTTTGGCCATACGGTGTAAGACCTGAACCTTTCCAAAGTAATGAGCCACTAGCACCATCAGCTATGAGGAGCCCGGCAACAAAACCATTACAATCGATGCCTTTAGTTGTACCATTTATTTCGGCACGTTTAATGTCATTTTCATTGTTAGTAGCAACATCGATAAATAAGGTTTCGCCAGTTTTCGTATCATAACCTACTTTACCACCGAAATTATAGCCCCAGTCTTTTGTCATCTCAAGATATGCTGCTGCACCCATGCCAGCGATACTACCACTGGGTTCAGTTATCTTTTTACCGCCTTTAACACCAGCTACTTTTTCCCATTCTGCTCGTAATTTTGGATCTGAATTAAGCGCAGCAACCAATGAACCTCCAGATGCAATAACCGCTTGAACAACTTTATCTCGTGCTTCTTGATTTTTACCAAAAAGCTTACCAGCTTTATCAACAGTTTGCATATTTTTTGTAAATTCAGTGAAACTTGCTTCTTG